GAGGAGGCGGAGTCAGGGCGGGGCGCGAGCCCTTCCGGGCTCCGCCTGTGCACAGGAGCCTTGCTTGTTTGTCCCGTGTCCCGACTTAACATTGGTCGGGACACGGGACAAACAAGCAAATATCGGGACAGTCCCGATAAAATTGGGACATCTGGTCACCCTAGTGAGGAACCGGGGAGGGAGGGAAGTGGGGCCCGGGATGCAGGGAGGGAGGAGGGGTCCTGCTGCTGCTCAGAGTCTCCCCAGGGCGGCGCGGCATTTCCCCGCCCGAGTGGACTGTGCAGGCTCCGCTGGGCTGGGCCGAGGGCACGGATCCCGGCTCGTGAGCTGATGGGGCGAGTGGCTGGGCAGCCCGAGCTGCCAGGGAGCTGCCGCCTCCTGCCCCCGGACCCAGCCCGCCGCACACCTCCCCCACCTCAGCCCCACGCTGCCTGGCCTGGGCAGGGAGAGGCAGAGCCCAGCTCCGAGCGGGGGATACTGCCCTGTCGGGGAACCCCCGCAGCTCGGGCACCTGGGGGGTCAGTGTCTGTCCTCTCGGCTCTGCCTGCATGGGGCAGGGGAAGCTGCTGTCAGCGCCTGCCCCTCTCAGCCCTTGCACCCCCATCCTGCTCGCTGCCCCTCCACTTGTACCTCCCCCCCTCGCTCCTTCACCCGCACCTCTCCCCTTGTACTCTCCCTTCACCCGCACCTCTCCCCTTGTACTCTTCCCCAGCCCTCTCCTCCCGCACCTCCCCCTTCCCCGGCACCTCTTCTCCCCCAACCCTCCTGATACCCCCTCTTCTCCTCCAACCTTCTCCGTGAGTACATCACACCCCGCTTCTCTGCCAGTGTAGAGCCCCCAAGCACCCCCACACCCGCTCCGCCGCCTGAACCCTCTTTACTAGATCCCCACCCCTTTCCGGGAACAAGGTATGAGGGTTAGTCTCTATGCCTTCCATGTGCATTTGGAGCACTAAAGATGGGGTTGCGGGGGACGGGGGTGTGTGAGATTTATACTAAAGTGAAATAAAAATAGGAGAAATGGTTTGATCCCAACTGCAAATGTAAACGGGGATTGCTGTGGTGAACGAGGTGATCACGTTTGGGGGGGGGAGCCAAGGCTGGGGCGGCAGGGGGGTGCGGATGGGGGGGTGGAAGCGAGAGCCCAGGGCTGGGGCGGCAGGGGGTGGGGGAGGGCACTGTGGTGGTGGGGGGATAGCCCAGGTCTGGGGTGGGGGGCTGCCAACATTTTTTTTGCTTGGGGCGGCAAAAAACCTAGAGCCGGCCCTGGGCACCACGGGTGCTGGAGGGGAGCAGCCCAGGAGTACCGCAGGTGCTGAGGGGGAGGTTGGCGGGGCTGGCAGGCCCCCTACCTGCCTCCATGCCAATCGGATGTGGTGACATTCCCCTCGGTCAGCTCCTAGGCGAGGCGTGGCCAGGCAGCTCTGCGCACTGCTTCCACCCTGATCGCCCGCTCCACAACTCTCATTGGCCAGGAACCACAGCCAATGGGAGCTGCGGGGGCGTGCCTACAGGCGGAGACAGCACACAGAGCTGCTTGGCCATGTTTACACCTAGGAGCTGAGCGAGGAGGATGTTGCTGCTTCCAGGGAGCCCCCTGAAGGAAGCGCCGCCCAGAGCCCATCTCATTCCATCCCATGCCCCAACCCCCTGTCCCCTCCCACACCCAAATTCCTGCTGCTGCCCCCCAGTCGCCTCTTTTCCAAGCTGAAAATTCCCAATTTTTTAAATCTTTCCTCATACAGAAGCTGTTCAATATCCCTAACCAGTTTTGTTGCCCTTCTCCATACCTTTTCCGATTCTAATATAACTTTTTTGAGATGGAGGCAACCAGGTCTGCACACAGTATTCGAGGTGTGGGCGTACCAGGGATTTATAGAGTAGTGTTGCAGGGGACCGGGTCACATTTGGGGTGAAGACGGGAAAAAGAAATAGCAGTTGGTCAGGTCCTCTGTCCATACCCCTGACTACAAACGTGGTAGTACAGCCCAGTGGCACACTTGGGGGGGAAGGGAGGGGGTGGCGCTCAGGGGAGGGGGACTCAGGCCCTCCCTGCTCCTCCGAGCCCCAGCCCAGGGCCCTGGCAGTGGTGGGGGTGTTCACCACCAAGTCAGCAGGGATCCTCCTGAAACACAGTGACCGGTTCCCCCTGTCACTCACCAGAGAAGATTCTAAGTCACCTGGGCTGCTTCCTCTCCTTTCTCCCTCAGTGAAGCTCCACGTTTCCCCTGGGTCTTTGGGGTCCTCCAATTGCCTAGCTCCGCCGGCACAGTCTCTTCCCAGGGCTCATCAGGCATCTGGAGTCAGTCTGGCCCTCTACGCGCTTTGCTCCTGTGGTCGGGGCCGCAGCCTGTGTCTTCTCCAGGCCCAGAGTGAGCTGGGTTGCTTCCTTTTATACTCCACCTCCAGGCTGAGCATGCCAAACAGAGTCTGAGGGGCGGGACTTCCTCAGCCGGCAAAGCACAGTTAACCCTTTCGGGGCTGGTGCGGGATAGGTACTCCCCGTCACAAGTAGCATTATGATACAGTATCTCCTCACTTAAAGTCGTCCTGGTTAACGTTGTTTCACTTGTGATCAATTAAAGAAGATGCTCGTTTAAAGTTGCGCAATGCTCCCTTATAACTTTGTTTGGTAGCCGCCTGCTTTGTCCACTGCTT